TGCAACAGGCAATGGGACTCTGGCAATATCTGTAGGTTTTCACCATCACCAGGATTGGGACCAAGGAAGGCTTGGAGGAGCTGACTCTTTTCAGCGCTTGACAGAAATCCCATAAATCACGGTGCTCAAATGTGCATAGCTGTCAACTTACAGATTTGAAAATAAGGGACCAGCAGCCTCGAAAATAAGGGACCAGCAGCCAAAATAAGGGATTTCCCCAGCACAGGTATGTTCAACTTCTGAGCCCCTCCGAGCCAAAGGCAGAAAGGCCAGCCAGCAGCCAAATGAAGCCTCAAGCGGTGGTTCCCACAGTGCAGCAACCCGGCAAAGGGGATGCAGCAAGGAAAACCACCGTCACCTCTCCGCTGGGAAGCGCTGAGCAAAGGCGAGTCCCCAGGCAACGCGGCCGATTTGAGCGGCACAAGGCATGCAAGCTCCACCCCCCAGTCGTTCTTAGACTCCTTATTGGGTGAGCAACGCAGCCAAGCAACATAGTTGGAGCCTCCCTCCTCCCCGGCCAGCAGGGAGGGAGGGAGAGGAGCTGCTTCCTTTGAAACCCGGGAAATTTAAGGGACATCATCAAGAAGGGACAGCAGCAGGACACAGCGCTGGGATAAGGGACTTTCCCGCCAAATAAGGGACGGTTGACAGCTATGCAAATGTGGCCTCAATTCAGAGAAGACTAGAAGTCGTGGGCATCCAGTGAAGCTGAATGTTGGAAAATGCAGGACTGATAAAAGGGTTGTTATTATTTTATTATTCATTACATTTATATACCGGCCTACATCTGAGGTTCTCAGGGTAGTTTACAGTGTAATAATAACTGGTCATGTTCAGATGCCTGATGGTCGTCTTCCAGAGCAACTACTCTCTTCCAAACTTAAAAATGGAAAGCGTCATGCTGGTGGTCAACAAAAGAGGTTGAAAGACTGTCTCAAGGCAAATCTTTAAAAATGTAGTATAAACACTGACAATTGGGAAACACTGGCCTGCAAGCACTCCAGTTGGAGAAGAGCCTTTACCAAAGGTGTCATGGGCTGTGAAGACACTCGAACTCAGGACGCAAGTGAGAAACGTGGTAAGAGGAAGGCACGCCTGGCAAACCCTCACCGTGATCCACTCCCGCCCGGAAACCAATGTCCCAACTGTGGAAGGACGTGTGGATCCAGAATTGGCCTCCACAGTCTCTTACGGACTCATTGTTAAAACCGTGTTTATGGAAGGCAATCTTACTTGGCTACAAGTGATCGCCAAAGAAGAAGAAATGATAACAAGAAGAATTTTATTATTTATCATTTATACCCTGCCCATCTGGCTGGGTTTCCCCAACTATTCTGGGGTTAAACAGAAAGTAAGTTAAGAAGAAGATGAAAGAAAGCAGATTACCATGGTTGATATTAGGCCTGCGTAGAGGGCGAAGGAAGTCAATAAAGAAAATGGAGTCAAATTTAGGTTAATACATATCTTTATTTTTGAGATATGTTCTTCCCCCCTTTTTTCTATTTTTATTTTCTCGTTTATATATTATTTGTATTTTGTTGGTAATATATTGTAAGTGTGTTGTTTTTTGTTTGCCAGCATATAAATAACTATTTTAAAAATGTAAAAAACAAAAAAACCCAGTGTTTATGAAATACAATCTTACTCAGCTACAAGTGATCGCCAAAGAATTATTATTATTATTATTATTATTATTATTATTAAACCCCTGCCCATCTGGCTGGCTTTCCATCCCACTGGACGTAGTGATGACCACTAACATGGATAGCGGTAAGAGAGGATTGGACACATTGATGGAGGAGAGGGCTGTTGAAGTCTGCTAGCCAGCATAGCTACCATATTTTTCGCCCTATAAGAGGCACCTAGTTTTTAGAGAAGCAAAACAAGGGAAAATAAATTCTGAATCAAATGTTGTACTAAACTATTTAATTAACATAGGGGCGATGGGAGCTGTAGTTCAACAACATCTGGGGACCCACAGGTTGAGAAAGGCTGAATTACAGTATGTGAGGTGGGGCTTACCTGCTCCCCCAATATTTTCTTCAAGTTGGAAGAGGGACGGAGGGAAGGAAGAGAGAGGGAGGGAGAGCTCACATTTGTGTGTGCATGTGGCGGGCAGCTGCCTTGCCTCGCCTCCGAGGTGACACCGGAACCATCTTTGTTGGAAGCTGCCCAGAGTGGCTGGGGAAACCCAGCCAGATGGGTGGGTTACAAATAATAAATTATTATTATTATTATTATTATTATTATTATTATTATTATTATTATTCAGCATACTCTTCTTACCTTCTTATGACCCGAAGATGGTGCTTGATTTATCTGCAGGCTTATCTGGTTGAGGGATTTTTAACACACAAGCCAGTAGACCTGAGCATTGCTGGCCGGCATGCAACATTATGTGCCCAATTGGCCGAATCTCTCCAGAAACTCATTCCAGCAAAGCAACGAAACAGGACTCTTCCTGCCCGCCTCTGGTGGCTGGAGCTTCGCAGCATCAAGCCCATGCATGTTTACTTTGGAGTAAGTCCCAAGTGGGGATGGGCAGACTCATGTAGGTTTTGCAGAAGTGAGGCACCAAGAGTTCTTAAAGGAACAAGGAGGAGAAGGGGGCGCGGACCAGGGTGGGGGCAATTAAACCACTTTAAACATTAGGTCCAAGTGCAGAAAAAGAATTTAAAAATGTGGCTTGGGGTGCAGCATTAAAATAATATAAAAACCAAATCTATTAAAATGAAAATGAAAACAGCACAAAGCTATTAAAAACTGTTTGTTTGAAACAATAAGTTCCATGTAAGTACAGTGATATATTGGTTTACAACCATAATCCGTTCTGGAGGTCTGGTTGTAAACCAAAACAGGTTGTAACCCAAGGCGCACTTTCGCCAATGGGGCCTCCCAAAAATGGGTTGTAATCCAAAAAAATGGGACACATACTTCAGGGTTTGACATGGTTGTAATCCAAAACGGTTGTAATCCAAAGCGATTCACACTTACAGCTATTGAAACGGACAGGCAGAGGTGTTTCCATCACTGTGTATCTAACTGAGCTGTGGAACTCACTGAGACTATATATTGTACTGGCCAGAAACATTGATAGTCTCTTTATATAGTGTTGCACACCACCCCAATCACCAAGCAATGAGAGATTCCAGGGGTTCCAGAACCTACTAAGAGTTATGTTTCCTTGGAACGAAGGTCAGCAAAGACTGTGTTGTCTTTAGGACATATTGCTTTATACACATCCTAAGCATAGGATGTAGGGACTCACGTCATTAACACCCCGACAGATCCTGTTTCTCCGTTAGCTGCAGCTTTGGATCCAGCACAGAGCAAGTAGGTCTCTGTGCCTCCAGCTTCCAGCGTGGTGTAGTGGTTAAGAGCGGTGGACTCGTAATCTGGTGAACCGGGTTCACTTCCCCGCTCCTCCACATGCAGCTGCTGGGTGACCTTGGGCCAGTCACACTTCTCTGAAGTCTCTCAGCCCCACTCACCCCACAGAGTGTTTGTTGTGGGGGGGGGGAGGGAAAGGAGAAGGTTAGCCGCTTTGAGACTCCTTCGGGTAGTGATAAAGCGGGATATCAAACCCAAACTCTTCTTCTTTTTCCTTTTCTTCCAGCTCAGCTCATGCACACCAAACCGGCTATTGCTCTCCTACCTAGCAACTCCCTTGTTGTTGTTGTTGTTTAGTCGTTTAGTCGTGTCTGCCTCTTCGTGACTCCATGGACCAGAGCACGCCAGGCACTCCTGTCTTCCACTGCCTCCCGCAGTTTGGTCAAACTCATGTTGGTAGCTTCGAGAACACTGTCCCACCATCTCGTCCTCTGTCATCCCCTTCTCCTTGTGCCCTCCATCTTTCCCAACATCAGGGTCTTTCCCAACATCAGGGTCTTTCCCAACATCAGGGTCCCTTGGGGTACAGGACCCCAAGAATGGGAAGGCACTCAGAACATCATCCACACTGACCCCCCACAAACCCACAACATCAGAAGGAGATTTGAACCCAGAGCTCTCTTTGTGGCTACTGCTGGCCACAAGACAACCAAAAGCACAGCCTTTGCTTTCAGTACGAGCCTGTCTTGGGCTGGCAAGTGTCAGCTGCTGGAGGTGCAGACTGCAGCGACTGCAGGTCCCTCTCCTGAGCTGAGGCACCCGGTTGGCGTGTGCCAATCAAACTGCGTCACTAGACTGGCCCTGCAAGGCGGATGCATGAGCACTGGCCTCGAATGGCGTTTGCATTCTGTTGTGCTTGGACGTTTCTCGGGTCCTGTGGCACGCTCCCTCCCCACAGAGAGACAGAGATATTTAGAGGGACACTGTCCTGGCTGAGCCGGCCTTTGCTGTCGGTGCAATTTCCTTTCAGCCCCCTGGTCAGAGGCGGCTGTGCTGCGCCGCCCGAGTATTAGGCTCTGTATTGATCAACAGGGACAGGCGAGGGCCAGTGGCGGAGGCAGTTGCGGGGAGCACCCCCCGACGCAATTCATCCAACAGGATGCCCTTTCTCTGCTCCCACCTTCTTCTTTGAAAGTTCTCACAGCTGAAAAGGGAGCCCCAAAACTGAGTGGGGAGTTCCCAACCTACTGTTAGAAAGTCCCTGGGTTTTCTTGGGGGGGGGGGGAGTTGCAAGCAAAGCTGGTCGAAGAGGAGATTCAGATACGGGCAGATGTGGGGAATGAATTAAAAAGCGGATATAGGAAGCCAGGGCAACAGCTGCATCGTGTCACTGTGGAACGTTGTCACAGCTTTTGACAAGAAATAAAGCCTGTCCATTAATCAAGTCCATGAAAGAAAGCTGATCGCCGAAGAATGGATGCTGGAGGAGACTCTTGAGAGTCCCATGGACTGCAAGAAGACCAAACCTCTCCATTCTTTTTTTTTTATTCTTTTTTTTCTTAGAATGTATTCTATTAAGCTACATTTCACAGCAAAATAAGTTCATAAGCCCAGGTAGCTTGTTCTTGAGAGGATGCACTCTGAATCAAACTGCCACATATGGACAAACATTTTCTGCCACAGCAGTTGGTGGTCAAGAAGAAGAGCTTGTAGTGAAGATCACAGAAGGTCCATCAGGAATCCAGCCATTTCTGCTTCACTCATCACGTGGCTCTTCGTACTTGTGCTTGATGTGCTTCCAGAGTTTCTCCTTGTTAACTTACTCGAAGATGGAGTCTGAGCTCTGGTCGAAGGCTCGCTCGAAGAGCAAGGCACCCACCACGACCGTGAGAGCGAAGGTAGCGCTGCAGCGTAAAAGCAGTCGGTAGACCTGCTTGGCGAGCGTCATCTTCGGCAGCCTTCCGGTACCGCGCACGCGCAGCTCTCGCCTCCTCTAGCAAGGGCCCAAACCTCTCCATTCAGAAGGAAATCAGCCCTGAGTGCTCACTGGAAGGACAGATCCTGAAGCTGAGGCTCCAATACTTTGGCCACCTCATGAGAAGAGAAGACTCCCTGGAAAAGACCCTGATGTTGGGGAAGATGGAGGGCACAAGGAGAAGGGGACGACAGAGGACGAGATGGTGGGGCAGTGTTCTCGAAGCTGCCAGCATGAGTCTGACCAAACTGCGGGAGGCAGTGGAAGACAGGAGTGCCTGGCGTGCTCTAGTCCAGGGGGTCACGAAGAGGCAGACATGACTAAACAACTAAACAATAACAATTAATGAAGTGTCCCTCAGTCTGGCAAGAGGAGATCTGCACGCAGGAGGAAATTATCCTGGTTACGGATCCAAACCCCATCTGCATCCCAGTTGAACTGGTTGGACTTGGGTGGCCTCTGATGCATCCAGGGCCGCCGCTTAAGAACGTAAGAACAATGGCCCATCTAGATGCCTCAATGGGAAACATGAAAGCAGAATTCAAGAGTCTTCTCCCTTCCTGTAGTTTCCAGCAACTGGTATTCAGAAACATCATTGTCTCCGACTGTGGAGGCAGAACACAGCCATTGTGGCTGGTGGCCATCGATAGCCCTCTCCTCCATCAACTGGGCTAACCTTTTAATGCCAATAAGCGGGACGCGGGTGGCGCTGTGGGTAAAACCTCAGCGCCTAGGACTTGCCGATCACATGGTCCGCGGTTCGAATCCCCGCGGCGGGGTGCGCTCTCGTTGCTTGGTCCCAGCGCCTGCCAACCTAGCAGTTTGAAAGCACCCCCAGGTGCAAGTAGATAAATAGGGACCGCTTACCAGCGGGAAGGTAAACGGCGTTCTGTGTGCTGCGCTGGCTCGCCAGATGCAGCTTGTCACGCTGGCCATGTGACCCGGAAGTGTCCTGCGGACAGCGCTGGCCCCCGGCCTCTAGAGTGAGATGAGCACACAACCCCAGAGTCTGTCAAGACTGGCCCGTACGGGCAGGGGTACCTTTACCTTTACCTTTAATGCCAACCAAGTTGGTGGCCATCACTTTCTCCTGGGGGAGTGAGTGCCACAGTTCAAATACTTTTCTTTGTTAAATGTTTATACTGCCGTTCATCCAAAGATCAGAGTCAGGGGGGAAACAATGCTGTCCAGGGTTGTAAAGACTGCGGAGAGAATAATTGGGTGCGCTTTTCCCACCTTGGATCAAATCTAGGTTTCCAGGTGCCATAAGAAAGCTGCAGAGATAGTGCTGGATAGTGCGCACCCCGGAAATGATCACTTTCAGCTTCTGCCTTCTGGAAGAAGGTACAGGGTTATAAAGAGTAGGACTAGCCGCCTGAGAAACAGTTTCCATCCAAATGCAATTTTGGTTTTAAACGCAGTGTAAGGTAGTTTCTGTAGGAGTATATTGTATTTAATTATGGGGTATCAGAGTTTTTAGGGGGTTCACCAGGCTGGGATAGCAGGCTTGTTGGTTTCTGAATGTCTGATGTAGATTTTCAATTTAATTGTTCTGTATGGGACAATGACAATAAAGATTATCGTATCTCAGGGCAGTTCACAGCCTAAAAACATGAAATAAAAACACAGAATACATAACAAAAGCAAGAATAGTGACAAACCAAACCAATGCACTGCGCGAAGGAGAACTTTCTTTTATCTGCCCTGAATCTTCCAACATTCACCTTCCTTGGACTCTCGTGAGTTTTAGTATTATGAGAGAGGGAGAAAAGCTTTGATCTACCCACTTCCTCCATTCCATGCATGGTTTCTATAAACTTTAATGTGATGCCTCTCACCTTTTCTTGCCAGGCTCTCATCAGTGATCCCCGCCGCCCCCTCCATGGGATGGGGGCTCCCAGCAGATGCCTGCGTCGGCTAAGCCTTGGCGCCAGCTCTTTTCCAAAAAGCCATCTTGCCTGATCGCTTGCTTCCTCCCCATCCCTGCCCTCAATGCTTTGCAGGCCAAGAGGAGCAAAACAGATAGGATCCTGCCCCAAGGAGCTTACACTCTGAATTCCACTTGAGGAGGAAAGAGATAGGGAGGAGGGAACGGAGGAAAGAGGGAGGCGGTCAGGGGACGAGAGCATGGGGAGCTGCTTGCGCTGAAGCTGTCTCGTTTTAGGGCGAGCTTCATTCCAAAGCACGCTCTGCACCCGCCAGCCAAAGGCCCTGGATCCTGAAGAGCAAAGTGATGGCAATTAGCTGCGACAAAACAATTGATTGTTTCCCCTTGGTTGGCCATAATGCAGGCGTTTGGATTGCTGCGACATGGTTTTAATTAAGTAGCAGGTTCATTACGAGACACTGAGGAAGATTTAACAGGAGGACCAGAAATGTCCTCTGCCGCTGCCGCCCTCAACAAAAGCGCAGAGCAACAATTGCTTGTGCCGGGTTTTCCAAAATAATGAATGAGGATTGCTTTTTAATTTATGCATTTGGTTTAGATTCGCAGCCTGCCCAATCTTGCAGGCTCTGGGGAGATGGCTGCAGGAAGCTACCTTTTCCTGAGCCAGACCACTGGTCCACCTAACTCAGTGCTGTCAACACTGATCAGCAGAGACTCTCCAAGTTTCAGGCAGGGGACAGACCTGGAGGGGCTGCCGGGGGTTGATCCTGGCTCTTTTTGCATGCAGAACAGAAGCTCTGCCTCTGAGCCGCAGCCCCGCAGTACAGTGGACACTCAGGTTGCAAACGTGATCCCCGTGCGGGATGCACGTCGCAACCTGCAGTGTTCGCAACCCGCAGCTGTGCATCTGCGGGTTGCAATTCGGCACTTCTGCGCATGCACAAAGTGTGATTTAGTGCTTCTGCACATGCATGAGCGCCGAAACCCAGAGGTAACCCGTTCCGGTACTTACGATATATACAATATACGATATCTTTATTGTCATTGTCCCATGCAGAACAATGAAATTGAAAAACTACATAAAACTACTACAAAACTACATAAAAACTACATAAAAACTACATAAAACATTGAAAAACCCCTAAAACTCTGAAACCCCCTTTTAAAATACACTATACTATAGAGACCCCTTATGCTGTGTTTCATTTAATTGTTCCGCAAGGGACAATGACAATAAATATATCGTAATCGCAATTGTAATCATACTCAAACAACCTAGAACCCAAACACTGCAAACCCGGAAGTAAGTGTTACGGTTTGCGAACTTTTTCGGAAGCCGAACATGCTCCGTTTTGAGTGTTACGCTAAGGTCTGTCTGTTTTTTTGTTATTTATTTTGCATTTTTGTTCTATTTTTGTGACTGTGGGGAACCCAGTTCAGCTACTGATTGATTGTGTGACTGCAGTACATTGTTTAGTGCTTTCGTTTTATGGATCCATGGTCTCGTTAGATAGTAAAATTCATGTTAAATTGCTGTTTTAGGGGTTGTTTTTTAAAGTCTGGAACGGAGTAATCCATTTTGCATTACTTTCTACAGGAATGCGTGCCTTGGTTTTGGAACGCTTTGATTTTCGAATGGACTTCCAGAACGGATTAAGTTTGAGAACCAAGGTACCACTGTACACAATTTCAAATTGCTATATCTGTCCAAGAATTTGCCATGGCTAATGTAGCTGGTAGAAGGTTCTTCTAGTCAACACATCCCCAACCTTCAGCCCTCCAGATGTTTTGGACTACAATTCCCATCATCCCTGACCACTGGTCCTGTTAGCTAGGGATCATGGGAGTTGTAGGCCAAAACATCTGGAGGGCTGCAGGTTGGGGATGCCTGTTCTAGTCACTAAGGCTGCCTGGATCAAGGAGTGTCCTCCCTCCCCCAACTACACACCAGAACTTTCAAAGGGACAGTAACCATATCCAGAACAGGCAGATGGGCCAACCTTCTGGACACTGGAATCACGACACCCTCTATGCCTCTGTCTCCCCAAGGTTCCAACATTTCAGGAGTTCAGGGAGTGACTGGGGGGGGAAATTGTCCAAGATACCCTTTTCTGTCGCCGAAGAATTGATGCTTTTGAATTCTGGTGCTGGAGGAGATTCTTGAGAGTCCCATGGACTGCAAGAAGATCAAACCTATCTATTCTGAAGGAAATCAGCCCTGAGTGCTCCCTGGAAGGACAGATCCTGAAGTTGAGACTCCAAAACTTTGGCCACCTCATGAGAAGAGAAGACTCCCTGGGAAAGACCCTGATGTTGGGAAAGATGGAGGGCACAAGGAGAAGGGGACGACAGAGGATGAGATGGTTGGACAGTGTTCTCGAAGCTACCAGCATGAGTTTGACCAAACTGCGGGAGGCAGTGGAGGACAGAGGTGCCTGGCGTGCTCTGGTCCAGGGGGACACGAAGAGGCGGACACCACTAAACGACTAAACAACAACATCCTTTTCTGATAAATTTCAGCTAAGCACAAGTGAAGACCAGCCTGCTGAATTGATAAGCAGCCAATGTAGATGAAACAAATAATGGAAAGCGAGAGATCTGCTCTGTCCAGCCAGCCTCTGTCAGCAGTCTGGTAGCGTGTGAGGAAAAGCTTCTCTCTGCGCTTTGGTGCTGGAGCAAGCGAGCAAGTCCAGGAATGAGGTGCGCTGTTAATGGCACGACTCTGGAACAACAAGGCGCGTGATGCCCTCGGCTGGCTTTCGCGTGGAGTGAGGCCACTTAGCAGCTTCAGTGAACAGGCAATTTGCAAAAGTGCCTGGCAAATCGCAGCGTCAAATGCCACGCTCAGATTGGCACAATTGCATGCTTAATGTCCGGAACCACCCACAGCCCATGGCGGAAAAGGCAAAGAGCTCAAGCACAGCAGGCAGCAAGGAAATAAAAGGAAAGAGGGTCAGCTACACACCACACCTCTGCCCCATAACCTAGAAGGAGTGTCCTCCTAAGGCAGGGGTCAGCAAACTTTTTCAGCAGGAGGCCGGTCCATTGTCCCTCAGACCTTGTGGGGGGCCAGACTATTTTTGGGGGGG